TGATTTTTCGATTTCTCTCTATTAAAACAAGAGAAAGAAATCGGACTCTATAAAACTGAAAACGTTTCTACAGAAAACGGTCATCAGAAATTAGAAAACAAAAACCACTAATAATTCAAACAATGAGGAGCAGAAGGGCTGGAATCTCTGGCTCCATTGTCTACCTGATTTGCATTCTAACAGGCCATAGAAAGGAGGAGTCGTTACTTCCCGTTACCATGGTAGCAAAATTTCTGGCTCTAAACAATCCATGATTCTTCAAATATGGTAGAAAAGCAAAACTGTAGCCCGTACTTTTTATCCATCGTTTGGCAATGCAAATGGCCATCTCTGTCAAGAAAGATTGTTGAGATTCAGAAATTTTGCTACCATGGTAACGTGACGTCACATTTTTCCTCTCTATTTCCGACTTCCAAAAACTCTCTTTTACAAAACGAGGCAAAGTGCAAACCTTTTCTTTTCTTTCTTTTCTTCTTTATTTGCATAAGAATTAAAAATCAACTTCATATCAATGGCTTTGCACTTGCATCGCTTTCAAACTGAGGCTAGGGGCAACTCAAAAATGGCCTGTCTTTGCTTTATGTCTCAGAAACAAAAAGCAGTAAAAAGAAGAAAGACAAAGAAGGTGTGGAGTAACCTGGTATGTAAAAAGCCTCCAGTGCATCTCAAAAACGACAATACAAGTCTATACAAATCATGAGGTGAAAGGGGAGTGTCTGGAAAAACTCCCTTGATGTGGTCTTCTTGCATTGCAAGATGCTCGCCGTGTGTTCAATCCAAGTGATGTCTCTCATAAAAGACTGTCTATGAAACACATCGGATTCGTAATACTTCTGCGTTAGAGATTGTTTCCAAGGAGATTAATGCGTCGCTCACAGGGGTCATATTCTCAAACACTATCGAAAGTGCAGGAGATATGACGCGTAATCCCGCATAATTACAAAAGCAATTATGCAATGCAATTAGCGCAATGAGCCTGCTATGGAGACAATACAAGTCTTCACTATTCATGAGGTAACGGGGAAATATCTGGCTGCGTTAGAAGTTATTTCCTCCTTGTATATATTGCAGTCTAGTTACAGAGACGAATGCCTGGTTCGCAGGGGTCATATTCTCAAACACTATGGCCAGTGCTGGAGATATGGCTTGTTAATCCACATAATTACATAATAATTGCATATTTATGCAATTATGCAATCCGCAAGCACCAAGCGCATAACGCCTGCTATGGGGAGGGTCTTCCACTGGCTTTGAAGTCAAATATGGGGACTTCAGACAGGACATTCTAAACGCCCACCCGTCCTCAACATACGCCTGAACTGTGATATATTTGTGATATATGTGATATATTAATCGTGGAATCTGAGACTGCCGTATGGCAGTAAAAAAAATAATGGATGATAATACGTTTCTGGCAAACTGCCCACCTACCCCTCTCCTAAGCCAACACTTTGCCCTAAGGGACTGTTTACATGGAAGTGGGGAACCCCAGGTAGGTGAGGTAACCCGCTTAGGTGGGGTAAAAAAAAATAACCCTCCTTTACATGTAATCTTACAACCCCGCCATCCCGGGGTGCACATTTTCAAGATTACTGAATGGTTGCTAAGCACGTAAACAGGAAAAATGCTGGCAAACCTTGTGTTTTGGCGATTAATGCTCTTCTACACTCACGTGCTTCTCTTGCTGCAACCTTCAGTGCTGTGGCTTTCCATTGCTACCGTTAATAATGATGCAAAGCTACGGCCAAAATGAATTTTGCGCGAATTTTATGTATTCCGAACCCGACCCTGGCTAGGCGGGATACCGTCCCCTTGAAACGTTTACATGGCAAAATTTGATCCCGGCTGAGAGGGTTACCCGGTCTGGCAGACCGGGCTATCCGCCTAGGCGGGTCACCCCACCTATCATGTAAACGTTAACCAAGTAAAATGAGAGATTGTATGGACAAGTGGGTTACCTCACCTACCTGGGGTCCCCACCTCCATGTAAACCGGCCCTAAGTGAGAAGTAAGTGTTGATGTTGGCTTAGGGGAGGGGTCGATGGGCAGTTTCCCAGAAACATAAAATGATCCATAATGATTATTCAGTGGCAAAGAAAATAAAAGCATTTTCTTTCACAAGAAAAAAAAATAAGTCGACGTTAGTATTTGTTACTATGCTCTTTGTCACGTTCCTGAGCTCACCTCAAAGGCAAACAATATTGTAATGACGAATTACCTTGGGTACTGTTGTTGATGATTTTAAAAAATAAACCAAGATCTAAAACAAAGAGGAAGGAGAATTACAGTCACTTGAGCCGAATCTTCTTCCCGAAAGGAAGCCTTTAACATTTCATCTCAGGTTTCCGACCCTGTTAAAGTGTATATGACACGAAATTTAAGTTTAATTAACAATTGTGAACTTTGAAAATATATCCCCCAAAAAACTTCTTGAATTTTGGCGATCCAAAAACTCCTTTTTTCCCGTCAGAAATGTTCCAGAGACTGGGAACGAGTAAAAGACCAAAGAAAGGCTGATGACGTCATGTGACGTCAGTTAGTTTACTCAGCCTTTGCTTCCGATTCTGTTCATCGCTTTGTCCGGTGTGGAATTAAGCAATGTAACTGACTTTAACGAAGCTATAGCTAAGTAAATGAAGATTCTGAAGATGATTGGGTGGGAGGAGGAAGGGGTTCCGACAATGACAATCCTTTGTATTTTCCTCCATCTTGTTAATTATCCTACATTCTTGAAAATCATTCCACGTCATACTTGTCAATTTGGCCGCGCGATAGAGCGGACATTCGCGTGTTTAGAAGACGAAAAATATGCTTTGCAAAATTATTGACCAGTTTAAATTTCGGATACATAGTTTGCACATATTGTAGAACTAAAAGCGATAACAGGAAAATCCGCATAGTATCCAATTTAAATCAAAATTTAAAACTATACTTTATGTCCTTATAGCAACGTAAATAGATCGAAATAAGTGTTTAATGTTTAAAGGAAAGATAGCGAAGACGTATTAACGTAAAGATAATGTATTACATGTTCTGTTTGATGCCCATTAGCGCTTGCCTGCGTGCAGACGTCTCCTATTTCCTTTGTTGCAACATTAGCGCCTTAAAATCGTCCCTTATCGGCGGCCGGACTAGCCTGTAAGCCAAGCGAAAATAAGACGCGCGTGATCTGGAGAACTAAAGGGTTGTGAGGTTTCGCAGCAGTTTTTGCGATCTCTTCACATTAGGAGCCTGGAACAGGCTAGATCCACTCTGCCACTAAAAAATATCGTATTTGCAAGGCACTATTTTTATATATCATGTCTATGTGCGATGAAAACATCAGAAATCTTAGTGCCTCTTATATTGAGAATATCCTAAATTGTTATAAATCCGCACACTAATTAAACTTTCTTACTTCTTTCTTTCTTTCTTTTATACGAGTGGCGTAGAAGCTGACATAGCCAAGTAATTTTTCTTTTATGATAATATTCAATATATAGTTGATGTTCCTTTCTTTCTTACTTAACTTTTATTTTATTTTGTTTCATTTGTCATTGTATTGACTGTTTTGGTACGGAAATCTTCTCGTCGAAGATAAAGTCAACTATAAAGTTGTTGTTGTGATCTGCGAATGAAGATATGCCGAAAGTAGAATGATTCTGTTCATTTGTAGGAACAACCTAAGCGACTGAAAAAGAACCTGAAAATATTCAGGCTTGACCGGGAATGGAACCCTGACCTTTGCGACNTCCACTCTGCCACTAAAAAATATCGTATTTGCAAGGCACTATTTTTATACATCATGTCTATGTGCGATGAAAACATCATAAATCTTAGTGCCTCTTATATTGAGAATATCCTAAATTGTTATAAATCCGAACACTAATTAAACTTTCTTACTTCTTTCTTTCTTTCTTTCTTTTATACGAGTGGCGTAGAAGCTGACATAGCCAAGTAATTTTTCTCTTTTGATAATATTCAATATATAGTTGATGTTCCTTTCTTTCTTACTTAACTTTTATTTTACTTTGTTTCATTTGTCATTGTATTGACTGTTTTGGTACGGAAATCTTCTTGTCGAAGATAAAGTCAACTATAAAGTTATTGTTGTGATCTGCGAATGAAGATATGCCGAAAGTAGAATGATTCTGTTCATTTGTAGGAACAACCTAAGCGACTGAAAAAGAACCTGAAAATATTCAGGCTTGACCGGGAATGGAACCCTGACCTTTGCGACCAACCGGACGCAACGCTCTATCCGTTGATAATAATCTCCGTCTCCGCTAACTTCCGTTTAGATTGCAACATAATGAGAAATTGAAAGAGGTTCTTGACAAAAGCGAAGAATCACATTCGGATATGTTGTTTTGCAGTGCTGCTGGTTATCTATTGGCAATGGTTGACACGAAACTCAATTAGGATCACCGACGAAAGCAAACAAGGGTAGGGTTATTCAGAAAGGCATGGGGTTTTATCGAGGAGCTGCTTATGAAGCTCTTTTCAATGTCATAAAATAAATGACATAGATCAACAAAAAAAGGTAAAATTAATTGTTTCGCGGTTAATGCTGCTGTCTACTACATAATTAATTTTTGATTATTTTGCACGGCAAACAAAAGAACAAATATAGCGCATCAGTTTTAAAGACTTTTTTTCAGAAACCCACAGCTTCATCCCAGTCGAGCCTGCAGCGATGGAAGGAGGGGCTTAAATTTGCAAGACGTCCCACAAAAACCCACTCAGTTGCGCGACTTTAAAAAGCTAAGGAAGTTGCTGTTAATCTCCCGGCTGCCCCTCCCAAAAAAACCGTAATGCTGTCCGCACCTCAAAACGAAACTTCGCATTCTCTCATCGTTGTTATTGGGGGAAGTTTTCTATTATGTCTTTTGATCCTTTTCACGATTTTTGGCGCTTTCCTTGTGTATTCTGCGTTTCTTTTAAACAAAAATTTGCGTACGAGGACGAACTTGTTTTTCTTAAGTCTTGTAACCGCGGATGTCTTGTTCGCTGTATTCGCCATGCCCTCAGAAATTGTGCATTTCTCGTGTCATCCATACTGGCCTCTTGGAGAAATCGGCTGCAACGTTTGGAGTTCATTATATGTGGCTTTTGGTGGCGCGTCTGCCTGTCACCTGTGCGCCATTGGCATTGATCGCTTGTTGGCCATTTCACGTCCTTTCCAATACTACAGCGACGTTTCGTTTAGTGTAGTTGTTTCGTTGACCCTCCTATGGATCTTTGCTATTTTTAGCGGAATCGCAAGTTATTACATCTGGGAGCAACCCTACCAAAATTTCTGCCATGCGTTCAGCGCTCCGATAGAGAGCTCTATTTTGTTTATGGTCTTTGACCTTTTGGTACCTTTCGTTATCTGTGTCTTAACTTATGTGAAGATATTTCAAATATCTCAACAGCAAGCAAGAAGAATAATCAGAACCCAAGGATGGGTCAACCGTGAGACTCATGCTTTACGAGTGTCTAGAAAATCAGCTAAAACCGTGGGCCTGCTGGTTGGTTTCTTCGCCTTGGCCTTACTGCCGTTTCTAATTTTCCATGCCTTGGACGGGTTCGTGGTATTGCCCAATCGTTTTTACTTCGATTGCTTTGTGAAGTGGCTGACTTTTGTCAACTCTTCCATGAACTGGTTGCTTTATGGATATTTAAATCAAGAGTACAGACAAGCATTAAAAAAGCTTTTAAATGATTTTGGTTGTTTCAGATGTCGCTCCTGTCGCAGAGAGACCAGGCAAGTGGACGTCATCTAAGGACATACGATATCTTGAACTGAAATACTCGTCTCAGTGCTAGCTCAAAATATTTGCTGAATCTATACATTTGTACATATGTACATTATTAATCCTTATGACTTCATTTTTAATAAGTTTAGCTTGAATGTTCTCTAGCACTCTGCCAGCCTCGCAAGAAATGTCCGAATCGATCCGAAATGCTTAGTGAAGTGTTCTGCAGTTGCCATGGCGTTTACGGTCCGTATAACGTTTCTCTTCGGAATTAAAGTCACTTTGTCAAGCTACAGGCAATGTATTTTAATGGTGTTTTATGAAAAATACCGTGTTTTTTGTATTTTTGTGGGTAAGCGCAGGTGAGGCCACAGTGGTGTGACTCGTTCACGTGATCAGGGTCCATAGTCCACTGTCAACAAAGTTTTCAACGTTTCTTTTTAGTCGTAAACTCAATTTTATTATAGAAGTTACAATAGATTGTATCGCTAAAAACATCCTGAAGTATTTGGAAGAACGTCTGGTGACCCAGTTGCAAGTAGCTGTGGTTTACGAGCAGTTGGCTACAGTTCTGAGCCTAATGCATGCGAAGGCGTCGTTTGAAGTATGAACGCGATGAATTCGAAGCCGTGAAGTTTGAATGTAGGAGGTTCTTCTCTTTTATTATGGACATTTACTCAAGTAAGCTACATTTCACTCTCATTATGAGGTTTTCAGCCGAGTGCTCACTACAGCTCTGTTTTAGGATTAGCATTCCGGATTACCGTTAGAATAGGCAAGACTTTTCGAACTGAGAATTGAGCCTCATTTCAACAGTGAAATCACACTTAAATTCCAGAGAAAATCTGAGAATTTGCAACCATATGTCTAAAGCTCAGTCTAGAAAACTGTTCTGTGAAATTTGTAACCAAAAAGATGAAGAGGAGTATGTAATTTGTTGCGAATTTATGTAAGTTAAAACGTGATATCAACTCGGTGCATTTGTATGGCTTCCTTTACTTTTACGGGGACTCAACACAACTGAGTGCTCGCCACAGAAAATTTCTGACGTATGAACAACGTTTAAAGAAAAACAGATTAGAAGTTATGGAATGCCCATGAAGAAGACGCGATAGCTTAGTAGAGACAGCGATATGAACTCATACAAAGATTGTTGTTTTTTTCTGTGATCAATTTACGGTGAACACAATAGGGAATACAACAGCAAGTAGTTTCAAGAGAGTCATGATTTTTTTTCTCTTTCATAAATCACATATTTCGTATCAAATTTGCCATACTGTTGCGTATAATGAAAGTAATAGATTTGCACCACCATTTCAGACAGATTTTCAGCGTCTTGCCTAGAGCACGAGCCCGCTAAAAGTAAAGAGGGTCATTCGTATTAGTGTTCTTATTTAGATTCTGAAGGTTAATTGTCAAGAAACAGTTTTAAAGTAGTCTGAAAATAGTTTTCCCCCGTATAACGTATTTGAATAACTCTGTCGAGTACTTTTAACAAAGTGAAACGATTTATTGTAAGTGTAGTAGTATACTGTGTTGAAAGATAAGCCCCATTTTGGATTTCCCGCATACTAAGTTGGATTTCCTGCATACTAATTAAGTACCTTTCTGCATACTAATTCGGTATGGGTTTCTAATGAGCGTCTCTCTACTTCAATAGAAACAATAGGCTTGCCTAGACTCGCCCGGTAAGTAACTTGAGCACGGTTTTCGGACTGTCTATTAAAAGGAAAATGGGAGCGATCACCTAGCAACGCGAGAAACGGATTTCTATATCTTATTTAGCGCTAAAACTCAGATATATAAACAAAACACATACAGAAAGTAGAGTTGAAAAGTCTTTATTTCAATTTAGTTTACGTCTTTATTTAGCGCTAAAACTCGGATACATAAAACACACTCACATATACACAAACTGGAGCTGAAAACTCTCTTTGTCTTTTGTCTGACTATTACAGAACTGTTTTCTCCGCTTTATCTCGAGGAAATGAAAAACTATTAAAGTCTTGTAATTTCACGCACCGTTAGTTTAATTATGCGAGTTCACAAGCCCAAAGTTGAATACAAATTAGCTCTACAGAAAAGACCCAAGGGAGCACCTTGACGTATTGTTATAAAACAAATAACTTAACAAGGATCAATTAAAACACGCGACTAATAATTGCTAGCGATAAAAACACAAGAGAGATACCGTTTAAAACAAAAAGAGTCAAATACAAAGCGATTTGAAAGAAATCTATTAAAATAGTCAAAGAAAGCAAGCCATGTTTTACTTACCCCTCTCCCTTTTAGTGCGTTGCTAGGTGACCGCTCCTGTTTTCCTTTTAGTAGACGGTCCGAAAACCGGGCTCAAGTTACTTACTGGGCGAGTCTAGACAAGCCTATTGTTTCTATTGAAGTAGAGAGACGCTCGTTAGAAAACCTATACCGAATTAGTATGCAGGAAGGCACTTAATTAGTATGCAGGAAATCCAAATTAGTATGCGGGAAATCCAAAATGGGGCTTATCTTTCAACATAGTATACTACTAAGTGTTATGTTCAGTAATCTCTACTTTCTCTAAGAAGAATGATCACATTGGTAGTCCAGATAACCAATCGATATAATTACACTTTAAAAACAAAAGCAAGAAGTCCTCTAGATACCTTATCATTCCTTTATAGAGTTTTTATGCCCTGGAGTCACTTTTACGACGCAGTGTTAAAAGTATCCGTCCTTCACGTTAGACAAGCATAAGATCATATAATATTACAGGTTTAGGTTGTCGTCGAGATCCTTCACGTCGTTAAGAATTCTAAGATGTGAGCCAAGGAAGGACATTGTATACCATTAGCTAGGTAGGATAAATCACTGAATCTATATCCTTTGCTACTGTAATTGACTTCTATTAACTTTAGATTAACTTCTCTCAGCAGTCGAGTCGATAATGGTTAGAACTCACGTGCTTTAGGTCAACTATTTCATGTTAGTGCAACAACTGAAGTACAAATTATTGTGACATTTTCAGGTCTAGTTAAAACGACAGAAGCACGTAAATGACCATAAATCTCAATGCATAAATCTTTGGTTAGTAATGCAGATGTAGCATATGTCGTAGAAATAGAGAATAAAATAAATCTTTCACAACTTGCATCTGGATGTTCGGTTTTCCGGTGTATCGTTCGCGAGAACGTTTATACTATACTCATAAGTGATACTCATAGAATGTCTCTTTTTTAGATGCAAGAAATAAATGTAGTGGTAAATTAACACTAAAATTTGATCCATTCCCTCTACAGTTTCATTGATTTTCCTTGGCTCTACGTCCTGCCTCCCTGACGCATAAACGCCCCGAAGGCACAAAAAATTATTCACCTCAAGCGTTTTGTAGGACGCAAAGGTCGATCGATCGATGTAACGATGTTTTTGAAGAATGTCCTGTTCAAGTAATTTTAAATCTGTATTAAAACGAGAGTAACATCGCCTGCCTATAAATTTCGTCGAGAAGTAATTTCTCAACGAATTCATGCAAATACTTCAACAAAATTTCTTATATTTCAATTGCTGCCATTTTGATTTACCTTCATGGGCTAGGTTGATCATTATGTTTACCATATATGGAAAACATGTGGTTGAACTGGGTTGGACGACAATGGTTCGGCAATTAAAAGTTCAACTTTTTATCGTCTATTAACACTGAAAATGTTTCAAGAAACGCCACTCAAAAGGTTTTTTACAACTTCTGTCCATGGGCTATACGAAACATGGGGTTTGGGTAACAATTGAGTATTCACCGCTTGCTTAGCGCCCACGCCTCAGCTTTGAAGAGAACGGATTGGTTACCAAGACTTAACAAATGCCGATCGAGTTCTGAATCAAAACAAAGAAAATTTCCAGCCTATCGATAAGAATTATACGGGAATAATTTACCAAAAAAGACGGAAGACTGCTTCCGTGTAAACAATTCAAGTATTTAAAGTCCATTTCGTCTCGCGTTTTTTTCCGTTGAGGTTAGCACATCAGTGACGGACTGCCTCTAGTTCATTGGTCGCTTTTCAAAGCGCTTTGATTGTCCCCTAATGGTCATCTTTCCTACATTTACCAAACGTAAGTGTCGCCACGTTAAGTCAGAATCCATTAGGTAATTGTCAATGAGTGATTCTAATTTTCAGTGGACAAAAATACCTTGTACCAGAATATTCTAAGCCATATCGCATTCTTTTTTACACTTTTCAAGGGCTATAGATGTAATAAGTGATCTGTAATAACACCAAAGACAATTTCTAACGGGAGACCAAGAAAATAAATCTCAAATTTCACAGGAATTGAGAAAACACAGGTAAAATCTTCATTCCTAAGATTTCATTTTGTGAAATTTGAGGCTTTTGAAGTTTGTTTTCTCGGGCTACGATAAGAACCTTTTCGTCGGAGTTATTTCGTACGACTTATTACATTGATAGCCCTTCAAAAGTGTGAAAAAGGATGCAATATGCTTGAAATTATTCTGGTACACGGTTTTTTTCCACTGAAAATTAAAATAACTCAATTGCCTAATGGATTTTGTCTTAATTTTGCATACACCTGGCTGGAAATAGCCACTTTCTTTGACATCCCGTTGTAGATTTCCCGTTTTTTCTAACTCTTGTGCCAATATGTATCATTTATTAAAGTGATCCATTGCTTTTCCTGCATTCCTAAGTGCTGCATTGGTAAAAAGGCCCCAATAATGATCTAAAAAATGTATCTTGTCAAGCGCCAGAAAATCTTAATTTTAAAACTGCAGTAAATTTCTAATATCATCCCCCTATTCTACAAATTATACTTTAAATTCAATTTTAAATTGAATTGTTGCGAAACACGAAAGGCTACTCTAAAAGGAAAGATAGCGAAGATGTATTAACCTAAAGATAATATATTACATGTACTGTTTGATGCTCATTAGCGCTTGCCTGCGTGCAGACGTCTCCTATTTCCTTTGTTGCAACATTAGCGCCTGAATATCGTCCCTTATATGCCGGACTAGCCTGTGAGCCAAGCGAAAATAAGACGCGCGTGATCTGGAGAACTGAAGGGCTGTGTGTTTTCGCAGTAGTTTTTGAGATCTCTTCACTGGAACAGGCTAGATCCAGTCTACCACTAATAATATCATATTTGCAAGGCACTATTTATATATATCATGTCTATATGCGATGAAAACATCATAAATCTTAGTGCCTCTTATATTGAAAATATCCAAAATTGTTATAAATCCGAACACTAATTAAACTTTCTTACCATAGCCACGTAATTTTTCTTTTATGATAATATTCACTATATAGTTGATGTTACTTTCTTTCTTTCTTAACTTTTATTTTACTTTGTTTCATTTGTCATTGTATTGACTGTTTTGGTACGGAAATCTTCTTGTCGAAGATAAAGTCAACTATAAAGTTGTTTTTGTGATCTGCGAATGAAGATATGCCGAAAGTAGAATGATTCTGTTTATTTGTAGGAATAACCTAAGCGATTGAAAAAGAACCTGAAAATATTCAGGCTTGACCGGGAATGGAACCCTGACCTTTGCGACCAACCGGACGCAACTCTCTATCCGTTGATAATAATCTCCTTCTCCGCTAACTTCCGTTTAGACTACAACATGATGAGAAATTGAAAGAGGTTCTTGACAAAAGCGAAGAATCACATTCGGATATGTTGTTTCGCAATAGTGCTGGTAATCTATTGCCAATGGTTGACACGAAACTCAATTAGGATCACCAGCGAAAGCAAACAAGGAGTAGGGTTATTCAGAAAGGCATGGGGTTTTATCGAGGAGCTGCTTATGAAGTTCTTTTCAATGTCATAAAATAAATGACATAGGTCAACAAAAAAGGTAAAATTAATTGTTTCGCGGTTAATGCTGCTGTCTACTACATAATTAATTTTTGATTATTTTGCACGGCAAACAAAAGAACAAATATAGCGCATCAGTTTTAAAGACTTTTTTTTTCAGAAACCCACAGCTTCATCCCAGTCGAGCCTGCAGCGATGGAAGGAGGGGCTTGAATTTGCAAGACGTCCCACAAAAACCCACTCAGTTTCACGACTTTAAAAAGCTAAGGTAGTTGCTGTTAATCTCCCGGCTGCCCCTCCCAAAAAAACCGTAATGCTTTCCGCACCTCAAAACGAAACTTCGCCATCTCTCATCGTTGTTACTGGGGGAAGTTTTCTATTATGTCTTTTGATCCTTCTCACGATTTTTGGCGCTTTCTTTGTGTATTCTGCGTTTCTTTTAAACAAAAATTTGCGTACAAGGACGAACTTGTTTTTCTTAAGTCTTGTAACCGCGGATGTCTTGTTCGCTGTATTCGCCATGCCCTCAGAAATTGTGCATTTCTCGTGTTATCCATACTGGCCTCTTGGAGAAATCGGCTGCAACGTTTGGAGTTCATTATATGTGGCTTTTGGTAGCGCGTCTGCCTGTCACCTGTGCGCCATTGGCATAGATCGCTTGTTGGCCGTTTCACGTCCTTTCCAATACTACAGCGACGTTTCGTTTAGTGTAGTTGTTTCGTTGACCCTCCTATGGATCTTTGCTTTTTTTAGCGGAATTGCAAGTTATCACATCTGGACGCAACCATACCAAAATTTCTGCTATGCGTTCAACGCTCCGGTAGAGAGCTCTATTTTGTTTATGGTCTTTGACCTTTTGGTACCTTTCGCTATCTGTGCCTTAACGTATGCGAAGATATTTCAAATATCTCAACAGCAAGTAAGAAGAATAATCAGAACCCAAGGATGGGTCAACCGTGAGACTAGTGCTTTACGAGTGTCTAGAAAATCAGCCAAAACCGTGGGCCTGCTGGTTGGTTTCTTCGCCTTGGCCTTTCTGCCGTTTCTAATTTTCCATGCCTTGGACGGGTTCATGGTATTGCCCAATCGTTTTTACTTCGATTGCTTTGTGAAGTGGCTGACTTTTGTCAACTCTTCCATGAACTGGTTGCTTTATGGATATTTAAACCAAGAGTACAGACAAGCATTAAAAAAGCTTTTAACGGATTTTGGTTGTTTCAGATGTCGCTCTTGTCGCAGAGAGGCCAGGCAAGTGGACGTCATCTAAGGACATACGATATCTTAAACTGAAATACTCGTCTCAGTGCTAGTTCAAATTATTTGCTGAATCTATACATTTGTACATATGTACATTATTAATCCTTATGACTTCATTTTTAATAAGTTTAGCTTGAATGTTCTCTAGCACTCTGCCAGCCTCGCAAGAAATGTCCGAATCGATCCGAAATGCTTAGTGAAGTGTTCTGCAGTTGCCATGGCGTTTACGGTCCGTATAACGTTTCTCTTCGGAATTAAAGTCACTTTGTCAAGCTATAGGCAATGTAAATGGTGTTTTATGAAAAATACCGTGTTTTTGTCTTTTTGTGGGTAAGTGCAGGTGAGGCCACAGTGGTGTGACTCGTTCACGTGATCAGGGTCCATAGTCCACTGTCAACAAAGTTTTCAACGTTTCTTTTCAGTCGTAAACTCAGTTTTATTATAGAAGTTACAGTAGATTGTATCGCTCAAAAACATCCTGAAGTATTTGGAAGAACGTCTGGTGACCCAGTTACAAGTAGCTGTGGTTTTACGAGCAGTTGACTACAGTTCTTAGCCTAATGCATGCGAAGGCGTTGTTTGAAGTATGAACGCGATGAAGTCGAAGCCGTGAAGTTTGAATGAAGGAGGTTCTTCTCTTTTATTATGGACATTTACTCAAGTAAGCTTCATTTGACTCTCATTATGAGGTTTTCAGCCTTGTGCTCACTACAGCTCTGTTTTTGGATTAGCATTCCGGATTACCGTTAGAATAGGCAAGACTTTTCGAACTGAGAATTGAGCCTCAATTCAACAGTGAAATCAAACTTAAACACCAGAGAAAATCTGAGAATTTGCAACCATATGTCAAAGTTCAGTCTAGGAAACTGTTCTGTGAAATTTGTGACCAAAAAGACAAAGAGGACTATGTAATTTGTTGCGAATTTATGTAAGTTAAATCGTGATATCAACTCGGTACATTTGTATGGCTTCTGTTACTTTTACGGGGACTCTTGCTCTATAGAGAAACACAACTGAGTGGTCGTCACAGAAAATTTCTGACGTAATAACGGCGTTTAAAGAAAAACAGATTAGAAGTTATGGAATGCCCATGATGAAGACGGGATAGCTTAGTAGAGACAACGATATGTCCTCATACAAAGATTGTTGTTTTTTTCTGTGATCAATTTACGGTGAACACAATAGGGAATACAACAGCAAGTAGTTTCAAGAGATTCATGATTTTTTTTCTCTTTCATAAATCACATATTTCGTTTTAAATTTGGCATACTGTTGCGTATGAAAGTAACAGATTTGCACCACCATTTCAAACAGATTTTCAGCGTCCTGCCTAGAGCACGAGGCCCCCAAAAGTAAAGAGGGTCATTCGTATCAGTGTTCTTATTTAGATTCTGAAGGTTAATTGTCAAGGAACAGTTTTAAGGTAGTCTGAAAATTGTTTTTTTCTCCCGTATAACGTATTTGAATAACTCTGTCGAGTAATTTTTAACAAAGTGAAACGATTTATTGTAAGTTTTGTGTTCAGTAATCGCGACTTTCTCTAATAAGAATGATCACATTCGTAGTCCAGATAACCAGTCGATATGAGTACTCTTTAGAAACAAAATTAAGAAGTCTTCTAGATACCTTATCATTCCTTTACAGAGTTTTTATGCCCTGGAGTCGCTTCTACGACGCAGTGTTTTAAAAAAGTATCCGTCCTTCACCTTAGACAAGCATTATATGATATAATATTACTGGTTTAGGTTTTGTCGAGATGCCTCACGTCGTTAAGAATTCTAAGATGTGAGCCAAGGAAGGACGTTGTATACTTTGTATACCTTTAACTAGGTAGGATAAATAACTGAATCTATATCCTTTGCTACTGTCATTGACTTCTATTAACTTTAGATTAACTTCTCTTAGCAGTCGAGTCGATACTAGTCGATAATGCATGGTTAGAACTCACGAACTTTAGGTCAACTATTTCATCTTAGTGCAATAACTGAAGTACAAATGTGACATTTTTAGGTCTAGTTAAAAACGAGAGAAGCCAATAAGTGACCATAAATCTCAGTGCATAAATCTTTGGTTAGTAATGCAGATGTAGCACATGTCGTAGAAATAGAGAATAAAATAAATCTTTCATAACTTACAACTGGACGTTCGGTTTTCCGGTGTATCGTTCGCGAGAACGTTTATACTACCCATAAGCGATACTCATAGCATGTCTCTTTTTTAGATACAAGAAATAAATGTAGTGGTAAATTAACACTAAAATTTGATCCATTACCTCTACAGATTCAATGATTTTCCTTGGCTCTGCGTCCTGCCTCCCTGACGCATAAACGCCCCGAAGGCACAAAAAATTATTCACCGCAAGCGTTTTGTAGGACGGAAAGGTCGATCGACCGATTTCACGATGTTTTGAAGAATATCCTGTTCAAGTAATTTTAAATCTGTAGTAAAACGAGAGTAACATCGCCTGCCTATAAATTTCGTCCAGAAGTAATTTCTCAGCGAATCTATGCAAATACCTCAACAAAATTTCTTATATTTCAATTGCTGCCATTTTGATTTACCCTCATGGGCTTGGTTGATCATTATGTTTACCATGTATGGAAAACATGTGGTTGAACTGGGTTGGACGACAATGGTTCGGCAATTAAAAGTTTCACCTTTTTATCGCCTATTAACACTGAAAATGTTTCAAGAAACACCACTCAAAAGGTTTTTTTTTACAACTTCTGCTCATGGGCTATACGAAACATGGGCTTTGGGTTATGATTGTGTACTCACCGCTTGCTTAGCGCCCACGCCTCATGTTTGAAGAGAACGGATTGGTTACCAAGACTTAACAAATGCCGATCGAGTTCTGACTCAAAACAAAGGAAATTTCCAGCCTATCGATAAGAATTGTACGGGAGGAATTTACCAAAAGGACGAAAGACTGCTTCAGTGTAAACAATTCAAGTATTAAAAGTCCATTTCGTCTCGCGTTTTTCCCGTTGAGGTTAGCACATCAGGGACGGACTGCTAATAGTTCAGTGGTCACTTTTCAAAGGGCTTTGAGTGTCCCTAATGGTCATCTTTCCTACATTTACCAAACGTAAGTGTCGCCACATTAAGACAGAATCCATTCGGTAATTGTCAATGAGTGATTCTAATTTTCAGTGGACAAAAAACCTCGTACCAGAATATTTTAAGCGATATCGCATTCTTTTTTACACTTTTCAAGGGCTATAGATGTAATAAGTTATCAGTAATAACACCAAGGACAATTTGTATGGGTAATAGCATGATTTGGAGTGATGTTTGGCATAAATACCACGAGTGATATTTCGAAATTGTTATAGGTAATTTCAAATTTGTGACAATTTTGAAATATCACGAGTGGTATTTATGCCAAATATCACGTACAAATCATGCTATTATTTGTTTATACTACTACCCGCAAAAAGTTTGTAATTTTCACATGTAGGTATTTCAGATTAAGCTGAAATACCTCTGCTCTAAGCCAATCAAATTGCAGAAATTTCTCATCTAGTGGTATAACTAACGGAAGACCAAGAAAATAAATCTCAAATTTCACAGAAATTGAGAAAACACAGGAAAATCTTCATACCTAAGATTTCATTTTGTGAAATTTGAGGTTTTTGAAGTTTGTTTTCTCGAGCTCCAATAAGAACCTTTTCGTCGGAGTTATTTCGTACGACTTATTACATTGGTAGCCCTTGAAAAGTGTGAAAAAGAATGCAATATGCTTGAAATTCTTCTGGTACACGGTTTTTTCCACTGAAAATTAAAACAACTCAATTGCCTAATGGATTTTGTCTTAATTTTGCATACACCTGGCTGGAAATAAGCACTTTCTTTGACAGCCCGTTGTAGATTTTCTGACTTTTCTAACTCTTGTGCCAATATGTATCATTTATTAAAATATTCCATTGCTTTTCTTGCATTGCTAAGTGCTGCATTGGTAAAAAGGTCCCCATAATGATCTAAAAAATGTATCTTGTCAGCGCCGGAAAATCTTAATTTTAAANTCATCTAGTGGTATAACTAACGGAAGACCAAGAAAATAAATCTCAAATTTCACAGAAATTGAGAAAACACAGGAAAATCTTCATACCTAAGATTTCATTTTGTGAAATTTGAGGTTTTTGAAGTTTGTTTTCTCGAGCTCCAATAAGAACCTTTTCGTCGGAGTTATTTCGTACGACTTATTACATTGGTAGCCCTTGAAAAGTGTGAAAAAGAATGCAATATGCTTGAAATTCTTCTGGTACACGGTTTTTTCCACTGAAAATTAAAACAACTCAATTGCCTAATGGATTTTGTCTTAATTTTGCATACACCTGGCTGGAAATAGCCACTTTCTTTGACAGCCCGTTGTAGATTTTCTGACTTTTCTAACTCTTGTGCCAATATGTATCATTTATTAAAATATTCCATTGCTTTTCTTGCATTGCTAAGTGCTGCATTGGTAAAAAGGTCCCCATAATGATCTAAAAAATGTATCTTGTCAGCGCCGGAAAATCTTAATTTTAAAACTCCAGTAAATTTCAAATATCATCCTCTATTCTACAAAGTACTTTAAATTCTGAGTATAATATTCATGACGTCCTTTTTTCAGCACGAACCCCGTATATTCTTGGACGAGAGTAACTAAGACTCCATATATTTAATTACTATTTGTTAGCTGGTCCATTTAATTTTATGGTAGTATGGTTCTATCGGCTCCCTTTTTGTATGCTCACAAGCCTATCATAAGCTAACTTTGACTGAATTGTTGCGAAACACGAAAGGCTACTCTGAAATAATTGTGGTAGATTGATCTCTCTCTACAACACCCAGTGCTGCTGAAAGAGTACTTTTACTGCAGACTGAGTACAGTCAAAATACAGGCAAAATATGAAAAAACCGCTCCGTTTTTGTTCTTGGTAAAATAGGTTTGTTGACTCTTTTTTACATTCCCAAAGGCCTGTCATAGGGTTCGTTTAAAAGGTTTTCAAGCACTCAGGGGGACCC